ATCTATAAAATAATAATATAATTTTTAAGTACTTTTTAGTATTCAAAATTAAAAATATTTTTTGATTTGAACTACACAATATATAAAAACATATAATACATACTACATAATGAAGAAATTCTGAAGGAGCAACATTTTGGTTCAAAAATCTAAATACTTTAGTATCCATAGCATAGCCAATTAATGTTTCATCAATTTTGAATAAATTTTTATCCTTAAACACATGTTGTGAAGAACGTAATTTTGAGAATGCTACAGCTAATCCAAATGTAGCTATACTTTTTAATTCTGGCCATTCCCAATCGTGTGTAGAAAGTTCAACATATGCTGAAGATAAAAACATCTCCTTTGTATCTAAAAATGTGTGCATAAAAATAACAAATAGGAAAAATTGATATATTTTATTATTTGTTGAATTACCACTACTAATTTCTTGAGTATTATTCATACAATCCAAATCAATAGCATATAAAAATGAAGTCACCATGAATAAAGGTACTTTACTAACAACTCCACGTGATTCTACATCTGGTTTTATCTTTTGCAAATGTTGTAATAAACTAAATAAATAAAATTTACTAAGTGTTAAGGACAAATAATAAAAATAACACTTCAAAGGAAATTTTAGTATTTAATTTAAAATTTAAAATTTAAATGTTTTTAATTTACCTAATTAGTTGTTGTTTTGATAATCCAAATTGAATAGAATAATAGAATACACATTCTGCTAACATTGTACGAATTTCAGTAAATAAGCTCACAACAAGTTGGTGATGTTTTGGACCACCAATAGCTTTATTTTTTTGAAGCAATTCAATTTCTTTAGTCAAATCTTTGTTCTCCAATGCAACTAAATAAAATAATAACATTTTAAGTAAAAATGCAGATAAACTTCAAATTAAGTTGTATAATTACTCAAAATATTAACGAATAATCCATCATTCATTAGTTGATCAACAAATTGGCCAAGGTGTTGTGCACATGCTGGATCTACACGAGGCATCCAAGTACGACCAGTGCTTCCTTCAATGAGAAGTCTTAAAGAAGATGCTAGCATACGATGTGCATTATAATACAACAATACTGCTACTAAACCTCTGCAAAGTTCTGGATATTTTGGATTTTGGTAACGGGCTATTTTTATTTATTTTTTTTAAAAACATTATTGTTAGTTAAATAAATTATGCAAGGTTTTCAAAAACAAAAAATGAATTAATAAGTTGATAAAATCATTCAATTCATTGTTATCAACATCTTATAAATGTATAGTTTTAAAGTAACATTATTTAAATGTTAAATTTAGTTACCAGTATTTAAAAGTTCCAAAGACATAAGTTCATCTAAATCATACATATCGGAGAGAATTAGGACTTCTTCGGCCATATCTTTAGGTAATGCTAACATCTCAAATTTCTGAATTGGTTTTCCATCTGCCAAGACTTTCATAATTTGTTCTCGACTTTTAACATTTTTTGGCTAAAATATTTTTGTTTTAATATAAAATTGTACGATTTAAATCCTTTGATAACTTACTGGGTTCTTAAATACATTTAAAAAATGTGGTTTAGCAGCACGTAAAATGCGTTTTAAAAATGCTACATTAGGTCTTTCATTTGTAAAAATATTCTCCAATACAGGTAAGAGCTCCGTATATGGTGACCACGAACTTTGTAACAATTCAGCTATGTAAAATTAAGTAAATGTTAATGTTTACACGATTAATAACAAAAGGGAATACAAATCATGTGAAAAACTAGATAAATTAGGAACATTTAATTTAACACGAAAAATCCAAATTACAACATAAAATATTTTTAAATGGGTTGAATTTTACTCACTCTCCATGCTTAAGGTTGCTATAATAATAGATTCAGCAGATTTTATAATTAATTAATCAAATGCCTTATTCTTAACAAATACTGAAAACAGAACATACAAAACGAGATACAGTCAATATTCATTTCATATTAATGTATATTATAAGTATAACAATGAATAATATTACATTGTCAATATTAGAGTATTATAATTTATATGACACTAAAACGTCTAAAACTAAACAAGAACGACTAAACTCGTAGCTCATACTACGAAAGTACGAAAACAACAAAAAGAAGAAAATATACGGCAAAACATTATACAATTATTTTTTAGGTTATGGCGGTTAATTTTCTGTTAATACTTAATATTAATTATATCAGCCATGGTATCTCTTATCTTCAATGATTATACGTTTATCACAGAATAATATTCTGTGGTATCACCACGATTTAAGATTTAGATCATATACGTATATCTTAAATCGTGATTATCACCACTACTAAATAATAAGGTGAGTAAGAATAACGTAGACCGACTATATGCCATATGGACCCATTGTATGTTTCTGACTTTCTGAGTGTCTAAGTACTGTTAAAATCTACTAAATAATAATAAATTCAAAATTGTGTTCGAGTGCGGCGTTCGGCATTATAATATTAATTATATTAATTACTACTATACTACTAAATTTAGATTAGCATGTCATCCGACTATTGTCGTATTTGTACATCTATTTTGCGTGATTATTTTGGTCAAGACGTTTCTGAAATTGMTAAACCTTTACAATGGGGTCAGAAATCCCTTATAACTTTAAGTACCATGTTGGATGGAAAATATCCTCGGCACTTGATACAAGAAACTTTAATTGTTTTATTGCAATTCAATTTTGTTTCGGCAATTTGTAATGTCCACTCAGTACAAATAGAATACAAATTGAATATGGAGAATATACTAATGATTTTAAGGTACCCAAAATATTTATCAATTATTAAGAGAAAATTTGGCAATCAATACGAGGAACTTGTTGAAACTTTACTTTGTCTTGGTCGAGCTCCTTTATCAAAAATTGTTAGTGAATGTATTAAATTACAAAATAAACCTGATGATTTGTATAATAATTATTGGGAAAAAGCTATTGAATTAATAAGAAATGAATATTTTAAAAGAACACCCACATATGTTGTTTGGACTGAAGTTAAACAAAATAAACTATTTACTCCACCAACAAAAAATCAAAAAGATGAGAAAAAAATTTTGTTTACTCTCAATTTTAATAAGTTTCATCAAGACATGAGAAATAAAATCATAATTGATGCTGTTGTGAGAACATTTGATGATACAATTATTGGTGAAGTAATGTCTACAATATTAAATCAATGTGCTGACAGCAATGCCCCAGTTTCAAACCCTATATCATTGCAATTAATTAGAAGTAATTTATCTGTTGGTCATAATTATTTATTAGAATATATAACAATGATAGAAGAAGATCCTACTAAATTTTTAAGTAAATCTTACGGTACAATGTGTAACATAACTGTTAATTTTAAACAAATAATTAATTGTTTAAATGATTCAATAATGGACCAAGTAGTAAGCTATAAGTTTGGAGAAAGCTCTGCGAGATTATTCAGAGCGACTAGAAGCAACAAACTTCTAGAACTTGAACGTCTTCAACAAACTGCTTTAATACCAGACCGTGAAACAAAAACACTAACGTCTGAACTATTTATGAATAATTATCTCCAAGTTCAAGAACTTAGGAAACCAAATACTCGTTTAGGTCGAAATGATGGGAAATCTTTTTATTTGTACCATTTAAATGAACGTCAACTGCATCAAGAGTTAACAGAAGAAATATTAAAAATGATTGGGAACTGCATGATGTGGAAGTTCAAAACTTGTGAAGATAATAAGAGATTACTAAAAAATAAAGCTCGATTTGATGGTATGGTTCAAGGATTACAAGATAAACAAGAAGCCGACAACGATTTTTTCGAAGAAGCTATGGACAATTTATTTTCACCAAGTGAACGAATATTGTTGGACTCAATAAACAGACTGTTACGCAAATGTCAGCTAAATATTATGAGATTAGACGTGTGTTTATTTTTATTTCATTCTTATAAACGATACAATGAAACTATAAAATAGATGTATTGTAATAACTGTGTTTTTATTATTGCAAACCATTTTCTAGAAGCTGTTTACCTAAATGTTTTTCTGCTTCTTTAAATGTTTATACTTGATTTTGTTGTATCATTCTTATAAATCTTAAACCTTAAGTATAATATACTAATAAGTAATTTTTTTTAAATTTTTGTAACAATAATTGTTGCATTCAACCAACTATCGAACAACATAAAATGGGTATCACTCATAATATTATAAGTAATAGATTTTAGATGTTCCAAATTTGAAATTAGTTAATTTTATCAGATGTTCAAGTATAGGATAATACAGTATATTAATTAATAAACATACTAACAAAGATAATAATGTATATATGGATTTAAGTATAAGTATGGATAAAACAGAATATCTCTTTACGCCTAATATAAACAATGTCATATTCAAGATTTTCAAGGAAGAAATTGGAGCGTATCAATTCAATTTTGAATATTCAAGAAGTTGACGTTCAATATACAAGTGATATGTCCTGACCTGTATTGGGCTTAGACTTCGATACGAGTCGGTTAGGTACGTATCGAATTCTTCTTAAAAGTCTTGATTCACGAACTAAGAAATATATTTTAGTCCATAGTTACAGTTAAATAATCAATTTAGTTGTTAATGTTGTTATAAATTTGATCAGAGTTAACTGTTTAATGTGTTTATAAAGGTTTTAAGCATAGAAAAAAGATTAATTATTTAGTATTAATTACAAATTTATTTAGTTTTAAGGATTTTAGTAGATTACACACAATACATATTCGACTGTTCGAGTAATCCGCGGACCGCGGTTGTAGCACAGAATCTATTCTGTAGTTGTATGTCATAGTCGTGCATAAAATTTTTTGCAAAATGCAAATAATAGATAGTAATAGCCAATAGGTATGTCATAATATGTAACAACTATTGTTGTTTATAGTTTATATACAACAATTAATCTAATGATATACACGACACGGTCGCAAAACGATACTGATAACAAAAAAAATATATATTTAAATATTTAAAATATTCAGATATCTAATACTATATAGTATATTCTGTGGTAGGGTGATTGTTATATTCTGTGGAGATGGTATCTTTATTGATATATCGTAAGCACTGTTCTATGATCAGTATGATCGTATAGAATTTATAGTAGAAGTAGATAAGTAGAATACTGGAGATCACTGATTTACTGATTTACTCTACAATCAACATCATCATCTCTGTCGTCTCTAGATTCTGATTTTATTGTTAGTTATTGAGGAATTCAACATATTCAAAATATTTTATTTTGATATTTAAATCAATTGGCATTATTGGCAATCGTTTGTTGTTTTGAGGAATTATATTAAGACGGATATTATGTGAAAAAATTGTCGACAATGGATGACGACACAATTAATACATTTTCCAGTCAATGTATGGGTTTATTTTATTATTATATATCATTATTAATTATCTCTGTTACATCAGGAACCTGTATTTATTGAATATAAAAATGCATTAAGCATTAAATTCTTTCAAGTTACATACAACTTAGTCTGAACTTTAGTTATTCTAATTGTCAAATATATTTAAAAATTGTTTCAGCTGTATATTATGATCATGATGGCAGTGAGAAGACCCCACTTTATGCTAAAAATAGTAATGAAAAAGCTCTACTTAAATTAATCRTAGGTTTTTGTATGGTATTTTGCATTGGATTATTATTTATGTTATTAATTCATATTCATTATGGATCAAATCAGGTATGATAAGTTTAAATTTGTATAGTAAATTAATTAATAAAAGATTTTTTTAACTTAAAAGTTAGTACCTCATGGAAATGTAGCAAGTGATAATGATCAATGCTCTCAATATGGAATTAATGTGCTCAAAATGGGTGGTAATGCAGTTGATGCAGCAATTACTGCGGCATTATGCAACTCAGTAGCACTCCTTCATCTTTCAGGATTAGGAGGGCAAGTAAAATAATATATAACTTAAATTCTATATAATTATTTTAAGATTATCTTATTTTGTTTTTAGAAATGGTGTCATAGTGGTATATGATCATCGAACTGGTATAGGAAATACAATTGATTTTAGAGCTACACATAGTTCACACAATACTATTGGAGTACCAGGTTTTTTAGTAGGATTGTTTCATGCTCATGTAAAATATGGAATTCTTCCTTGGAAAACACTAGTTGAACCTTCCATAAACTTAGCAAAGTAAGAAAAGCACAATTTTCTAAATGTATGTACACAACATTATTGTACATTATTTAGGAAAGGCATAACTGTTACAAAAAGTTTACTTGAAGCAATTAATCAGAATACCACTAAGCTAGTTGAAGACGATAACCTTAAACATTGGTTATCCACAGTATCAAATAGTTCTCTTGGTCAAATGGTTAAATCGCCTAATGGTTTGATAGAAACTCTCACCTCAATATCTTTACATGGACCAATTGGTATGATACATAATATAAAAAAAGGAAGCTACATCAGTATATCTTTTGTATCATAATATATTAGTATACTCTGTTCCAGAGAGATTATGTTGCGGACCGACCAAAATCGGTTTTCTGCTCAACCCCTACACCCTGCCATAAGGTAATCAGTTTTGAAAGCTGGGGGTTGCACAGAACCTGCATGTTTCCTCGTGGAATAAAGTATAGAACTTGGGGATGTATTATAAATTACCAATAACTGATTTAAGTAATTTTAACACGTTGACCGCCACGTGCCCGCCAACGGGCATTTGATAATCTTTCGCCGAAGGCTACAGTGTTTTTATAGAGTTATTCATAAAATGTTATTTTTGATATTTATAGAACTAATCATCGGAAATTCACGAAACCAATATTGTTATTCTTATTTTTGTCTCGCCAATAAGATTATAGCGCTTTTTTTAATTATAGCTTAATCATTTATTTCTACAACTTAAAAAAATCCAATAGAGGTAAAAAATATACCGTTCGATGTAAAATTTTCTTCTCTATGCAATGGTAATATTTATAGTATCGTTACTTCAGCGCCAGCATAATAAAGTCTATTTGAAAATATACATGAATGTGACAGCCCGCAGTCACATGGCGTATAGCTAATAGGGTAGCGTGGCAGCCGGCGACCACATTTTTAGTGTTATCACCAGTAGCCAAATGACCGCCGGCGGGCATGTGGCGGTCAACGTATTAAACATTGTGTTGATATTCTATGAAAAAAATATAATATGATATTTTATATTCATACATTTTACTTATTTTTGTAATAATATATGGACATAAATCAAAAGTTAAATTGGTGTGGTAGCTATTATTTAAACATCTGTATAAAAAATATTTTGTTTAGAAATAATAATAATGTTTTTTTTTTTTTTTTATTAAGAATTTTATAAAGAAATGTCAAGAGAATTGAAGTCTATTTTAAATCCAGATGATGTAATTAGTTACCAACCGCTTATTTTACCTGTATTAAAACAAAACTTTATGAACTATTGCATTATAACTTCCAATAAAGGTACTGGAGGACCAATTTTACTGGAAGTATTAAATAAAATGAATAGTACTAAAAAATATCTTGAAGATCTTTCATTATTGAATAGCTTTAAAAGTATGCAATTTGTAAGCTTAAAATTTACTAATGGATGCTACCTATGCTTTTGTTGTCTTTGTCTTAGGATCCGCTTTACAATCATAGTTTAAACCTCCGTTATGCTTGATCCACTGACTTTACCGGCCGAATTCTGTGGTTTAACCGGAGTTCAACTATTGTAATACGGGCCCTTACTCTTACAAGTATGACTTGGAAAATGTTTGTTTACTGGTTTTAATAGTGTATCGTTTTATTTTAGTGTAAATTGATCTGTAGTAAAACTTTTAGGGCGACTAACTCTAATATAAAACTAATGGAACACCATTGAAACAAGTGAATTCAAAATTTCCATGTCATATACTCATATAGTCATATGTGTGTAAGATGGAGACAGCAAATATATGGATAGCATTCTCTTTATTATTTTAAACAATTTATGATGATTTGTACAGGTTTAGGAGTCAATTGGAATCAAAATTCTGGATTACAAGTTTCAGCTACAGATACTTTTGATATTTATGTAACTATTATAAGGTACATAATACATTGTATTACTTATATGGTTTTATAGAATATTTATCCAGATTTGTATTTTAATTTGTTTTATAGTGGTCTTGGTTCTGTTTTTGGATCCCGTATTTTAACTAACTCTGGTTATATATTGAACAATGCTTTGGATTTAAATCTTAAGGATCGTATAATAAACCAAACGGAACGAGTAACATCATTGAATTTACCAGTTATTGCTGTAGAAACAGGAAATATATGTGGGAGAAGATTAATCTCAGGTGCTGCTGATGTACGTGATGGTGCCCAATTACTTTTATCAATGCTAAAAACAGACCCACAAAATATATTAAGTGTTAATAATATTCCTCGGTTTCATATAGAAAATAATGATGTTGAAATTGAATATCCAAATAATATAACTAATCAATTTTCAGAAGTACTGCTAAATTTTGGATTTAATTTATCTGAAGCAACTTTACCTTATCCTACTTCTAATATAATACAAAAAGAGGGAGACAGATCTGTTGCGTTCTCAGATTCTCGTGGATCTGGAAAATCTTATACTTTATAGCATATAAAAATTATTTTTCTAAGTAAATGTTCAACATTATGTATATTTTTTTAAACAATTGATTGTAATTTTTATAGATACTTTACATAAAATATATTTATTTTTATTTGAATCTATGTATAACAAATACATGATATTAAATATTATTTCACTCTACATCTAGTATTTTGTTTGTTGTAATAATTTACATACACCCTGACCCCAACCTTAATCAAGGACCAAGGCTTAATTAAAGTGTTTAATAAAACTAAGTTTTTGACATAGGCCTAATTTTTGATGGTCTATGTTTTTAGAACATATGCTTAGTATTTTGTGAATTTGAAGCATGTTTAAATATTTATATGTACAATTAAATATTTAATCATGATTTGAAACTTCTAATGTTCTATCATAAACATAAGGCCTTACCTTAGAACAGTATAATTAAATAATGTAAGTTGCTATCTGGCTTAAATTGTGAGACAATGACTTCTAAGATAACTTAACTTGTAGTGGTCATACAAATAATAATCATAAAATAATATGTTGAATTTTTAATAAACTTAAGGTACTTATTATAGAATACTTAACAATATTTATCAATAAGGGCACCTATATATTACCTATTGTACTACCTATCACGGTTGAAGATACTATCTTAAACCTACTATACCTATAATCATAAAATTAGTCTCAAATTTTTAATTATGACGGTTTAAGAACAATTAGTTATAAATAGAATACAGATATAGGTAATATTTAATACTAAAAGATTGTTAATATCTGTTTAAAACAGTTTATTTAAAGACAAAAAAGTAATGAAATAACCATTGAAGAATTTTTGAAAGCTGTGTCTAATAGCAAACTGAAATAAACTTTTTTTTATAACCAACTTCCTGACTAGGTAATTATTATTCATGAATTTATTAATATTATTATTATGCTCAAACAAACTGATGCACCAAGATATTGTAACAAATAAGTATTATTTAAATTACATATTTTTTATTTTCTTATTATTTTTGACAGCTATATTCAACAATTATCTTTTTTTCGGTTTTTATCCGCAGGGATTTTTTTCTAGATTCGTTTTTCGTCACAATTAATAAACTATTACTACTTGCTTTTTTTTTTTTTGGAAATTTTAAATAGTTTTACTGCCATCACGAAAATCATTTAGAATTATATCATACAAATCAATTAATCAAAATATAAACAATATTTGGAGATGGGCAAAGATATTAATAACATTAATTGAAAATTCATTTATTCAGTGATTTGGGCAAAATATAAAATAAAATTTTTTTTATTATTTAAATGACGGTAAAAATATAAAGTTGAATTATTAAGAATATTTAACAGTTTGCGTACTTCATAGAATAAAAAGAGAGGATAATAAAAAATGGATAAGATATATTTTAAAATGGCTAATATTACAGTATTATGTTTATAGCATAGACTTTAGGTACGCATTACTACGTAATGTTGTCGTGATAACTAGTCTATTATAGTGCTTAAATTGAATAATAATTTCATAACTGTTGAAACTGTATTATAACAACTTCAAATACAGGAGTTTAAGCATTATAGTAAATTATAATAATCAAATATTACCTATCTGATTAACATATTATTTATTAGTTTATTAATTTTTGACAAGATTATAAGACAAGTGAGCATATAGTAACAAGTATTATAATTTACAGGACACATTACACAGAATATAAGTAGCCTAAGTAGGTATAGTACTTCAACTCAATGTATCAACACTAGTTGGTAGTTTGGTACACTACAACAGTTTATTATTATTAATTAAATAAATATTATCTATATAAGAATAATAATATTATTATCTTAATTCTTAAATTTTAAATTATTGTGCTTATTATCCAATACGCAATTTATGCACATTGCATATTATTCATTAATCATTGATCATTCATGCCTATTGTCTATCTGAAATGAACTGATGTTGTATACGTTTGTTACACAGATAACCGAAAGGTTTCCTTTTCCACTTAACCAACTGTCACGTAGTTCATTGTGTTGACAATAAAAAAACGAAAAAGTACCGAGTTTCGTGGGAAAGTTTAATACGTTTTGAGTTTTGAGTTTACTAATTTCAATACACGTAATTATAATTGTATTGTGTTTCAGAACGTATGTGATATAGTAAACGAATTGAAAATGCCAAATAGGATATTACTGAAAAAAGACAAGGTAAACGATTCCTCAACATACATTTGTTTTGGCCTATCGCCTATGTATTTGCTATTCTAATGATTTTTTACTTCATTTTTTTTTTTTTCATACGTACTTCCCCTCAATTTCTGCTCAATTATATTATTTCACAGGTTCGATTGTTATTAGTATATATGTATATAATTGATAACTTCTAAACATTAGATTTTAATACCTAATAATACCTTTGAAGGTATTATTTTATAAAATTCTATATAAAATTAGTAAATATACTACTGTATATTATTAGATAAACATTCCAATACATTTTGATATCACAACATTTAAATATGAAGACTAATATTATAAACTTAAATGCGATAACATATTTTCAGTACATTTTATGTTATTAACTATGGCATGAAAGTACAATTATGTTTATGGGAATAATAAATAGATATATGGATAAATTGTGTTAGTACATCTGACTAATATACTAATATTTATTATATAATGTACCTATTTGTGTATTCAAGATTTTAAAATAGTTAAAATAATTGTTTTCTATTTAAAATTTAATTTGTATAACTTTGGAAAGTAGCGAAATGAAGATAATAGTATAGGTAATCATCAAACCATAATTTTAAAGAATACATTTAGGATTACTTATATCATGAAAATACTTAAATAATGACTGTTTTCATAAAGTTATTACAATATAATTGAATTTTGTCCTCAACTAACATATTGTTGATTGATATTCATGAATGCATGATTATATTGTTATATGTTTAATATATTTTAATATGWCTATTTTTGTTACACATTTAATTATTGTGCTATTAAGTACAGATTGCAAATTTCATTTAAAAAAAAAAATGTTTGAGCAATGGTAGGTACATTATTTATTTCATAGATGAGCAAAAATAAATATATATATATATATTATATATTTCATGTTGTTTTAATAATTTTTTATATTCTAGGATATTTCCAAATCCAAAAATGTTGATGTAAAAAATGGATCAGGAGCAGAAATGACAGGAGATGATGTAAGTTTTGTTAACAACTTATTTTTTAAATATAAAATACCAAGTAGGTATCATGAAAAAATATTTCACCTCCATTGTCACCTATAAAATTATTATTATTATGGTTATCATAAATTATGATAGATAATAAAATAAAAGTTCCGATCAGCATGCTAAATTTTACTAAGCACTCATAATAACCAGAAAGTAGTTGTCAAGATTCTTATTTCTTGTATAGTATATAAAATAGATTTGAAATAAATCATAAAATTTTAAATATTATAGTACACGGCATATTATGTATAAATTGTATTGGCCTATGCCTTATTGTATATTTTTCTAAGAATATTTTTTGATATTTCAAGTGTATTTAAATTTTAAGTAGACTTCAGTCCTTTATAATCCATAATTGATGTCAGAATGCCTTAAAAAATTTATTTCATTCAAAACAATTACAAGTTTCAATTTATGAAAGTCCTAATTACTTGAATCCTGTCTAATAAATGTAATTTTCGAGTATTAAACAATTTATTATTTCTGCTATTAGTTAGTATAACTAAATATGATTATCATTTTAAATTGATCGGGATTTTTTAAATTTGTTTTGTTTTAAATAACAACTTTATATATAAAAAATCTTTTCTATAAGGCACTTTTCATGAATACACTTTTAAATTTTCTCAGAAGCATTGCATTATGTTTAATTTAGTTGACTGGAAAAGTATTAAACACCACATTTTCAGAAATCTTTTGTTTATAAAATGCAAAATAATAAAAAAAACTTTATTTAACAACAATATTAATCAATTTTATATAATTCCATGTATGAAATAATTATTTAGGGTCTAAAATTGAATACTAACAATTATAATCAAATCTATTGATTATTGCATAGTATTGGCAGTGGTGGAAGTGGCTCAAAATAAGCGGGGTAACTAAAAATGTATGAATAAAATGTAGTGTGTGTGTGTGTGTGTTTGTGTGAATTTTTTTTGACAGTTAAAAACATTATAATATATGTATTTTAAATTCATTATAATAGATTATAATACTATATTAACAATTAAAGTTTAAACTCAAGTTCTAATAATATATATCAACAATTAAATAATTCCTTCAAATAAATGTTTTTAAAATTTACAAAAAAAAAAATTGTTTAGTTAATTTTGATTATTGTTTAGAGATAATAAAATTAAAAACTCAATTTTTGAATTGGAATTTTATTATTATATAAAAAAAAAAAATTAGTAACTTTACTGCAATATATTTTGAAACAAATCAGAAATATAATTATTAATGAAATAACAAAATACAATACTTAACAGTTTATCGCAATTACCCGGTAATGCGGTTGTTATAGTTCTACTACATTTGAACTCCTTATTTTATTAAAAAGTGGCTTAACCTAATTATATAATATATTATGATATGATATTAATAAGAATGATCTAAACATAAGATGTATAAGTTTCATAATTTGCGTAACATATTAATATGCAAGATTTTAATATGTTTAACTACCAGTGATATCTGTATAATGATATATACTGCATTAAGCAGAATAGTAAGACTCACTGCATGTCTTAATTCTATTAAGTTTTATTCTTTTATAGTTTATATACTTTTTGCTTAATATAATTTTTAATATTTTTTTTCCTGTTTTATAATGTTATCAACATCAATAATAATTAAATATTGTAAAAGTAAGGCACTAAACCTCAAAAAAAAATATAAGACAATTGATAAGATATTATTAATCGTAAAATGTACATATGTAAGTATAGCACCAAGTTTAAATATTTCATCAATCGTAAATAATTATTATTTAACTGTGTTTTATTATTGTTTAATCATAATTGCCATAAGATATTAATGTAGATTA